TTTTTTTCAAGTAGGATAGATAAGTGACTATCATTCACTTTTCATAGATGTATTTTTTAATTTAAAAATAATTATTCACACTTAGTAAACATTAAATGGGACAGAGTAGGTACTTGGGGGGGCTCTGTTATATATTTAAAATATGTAGTAGTCAGGTATAGGTAGAAAATGTTGGGTAGTTGATTTCAGGGTATTTTTACTTTTATTTTTTAAAATAACTTTTATAACTTAAAAATTGAAGTATAATTTACATACATCAAGATGCACAGATCTTAAGAAGTACTTAGGTTTGATGAGTTTTGATGTATCCAAGTAACCAGTATTCGGAATAAGATACAGAACGTTTCTATCACCCCAGAAAGTTCTTCCACCGTCACCTCCAGGTCTTATATAACTACTGACTTGCTTTCTGTCACAGTAGGTTAGTTTTGCCTATTCTAAAATGTCATAGAAATAGGATCGTTATAATGTATATCTTATGCCTGGCTTCTTTTGCTTAGCATAATGTTTTTTTATATTAGTACATGTTGCATGTAACTAGTTTTATTGCTGAGGAATATTTCCTTTTATAAATATTCCATTTTTTTTAAAATCCATTCTTCTTTTGATGGACGTTTGGGTTCTTTCCAATTTTGGAGTATTATGAGTAAAGCTGTATGAACATTTTTATCCAAGTCTTTTTATGGACATCTCTTAATTTATCTTGAATAAAAATCTATAAATGGAATTACCAGGTCTTCGGATAGGTCTATAAGAAAGTGTCAAACAATTTTCCTTGCTCTATTTTATTTTCCCAACAGCAATGTATGAGAATTGAAGTTCTGTACTTTCACCATATTTGATATGGTCAATCTTTTTTATTCTAGCCAGTTTAATGGGTATGGAACTATATCTCATTATGTGTTTTATTTTTTTTTAAATAAATTTACATTTTCCTAGGATCTAACACTGAGCATCATTTCATGTGCTAATTTGGCCACTCAGATATCTTCATTTGCCTGTTTTTTGTTGTCTTTTTATTGTGATTGTATGGAAGTTTTTTTTTTTTATGAACAGGTTAAAGTGAAATTTCTTTCTGGTTCAGTTTCTTATGCACCAAACTTAAGGAGTGCATTTTGAGAGAGCAGGTTTCTAAAATAAGTTAACATTTAAATGTTAAGACATCATCAGTAAAAAAATAAGAGAGTTGCAAGTTAGGTGAAATTATTAGGTTAAGTTCTATAATGTGTAGTAAGAGCTTTCTTTGTCTTTTTTTTTTTTTTAATTTAAAGTTCACAAAAATGTTCAGAAGATAAGGTAGATGTTGTTCTTTATTATTCTTATTCTGTTAGATCTTCTTCAGTGTATTTACATTTTTCTCCTGTAATTCTTTTCCCTGTGTGACTGTAATTCTTTTCCTATAATTCTTTTCCCAATTGTGACTCTCTATTCAAGTGCCCACACTGTTGGGAGCCATGATTTAAAAGACAAGGAGTAACCAACCAGTCTCTGCTTCTAAACAGCTTACATTTAATTTGCTCTCATGTCTAGATTCTCACACTTCAATGATTCCTTTGCTCTTGTCAAATCACTGTTTCTTTGGATTCTGTCTGGCTTCATGTCCTTTCTGTGTATTCATCTCTCTGTCCACCTCCATCCTCCCCTTCCCCTGTGTCCATACATATTAATAGAATATTTTTCTTGCTACTTTTATCATCAGTCCATAGGATGCCTGTATAAGAATCTAGCTACTTACTGCATAACATTATGTTCACTCTCTGTTTAGTACTAAATAGTACTAGGACTACATAGTACATAGGATCCCATAGTACTCAGGTAGTCTTGGCCTCATCTCCTCCTAAAATACACTGTGGTTGGCAGGTTGGTCTCTCAACTTTTCTGTCCACCTCTTATTTTACAGTTTTTCACACCCATCCAGCTCGTGTACACACACATATCCACATGCCGGAACAGTGGCTTCCACTTAGAATCATAGGACATCAGGGTTATAAGGGATCTTGAAAATCAAGTAGCCCGTAATTTATTGATGAAAGTGAAAACTAAGGCCATAAGAGGTCTTTTGTGAGTCCTCCTTCAAATATTTTGCTTCAATTGATTTTACGTCTGTTTAAACTTCCTTAATGTCCTTATAAGTGATCACCACCATATTGTATGATCTTCTATTATTTATTATATTTAGTTTTTTATTACTTCTTTCACTGAACTTATCTTTAAGGATTAACACAATTTTTTTTTTTCTTCAAGGATCCTCTAAAGCACCTAACATTGGGTCTTTGTTTCCATATCTTCTAGAGTTGTCTTATGGTCGTACCAGTTCCATGAAAACTTTCTATTAAAAAAACTTACATACTGCTTTGAGAATTCTTTTCCTCCTCCTATATTTTTATAATGTAAAGGCCTCTTCTTAAAGGACCATATATTTTATAGTTGAATTTTATGGAGGATTCTTTTTCTACCTGACTTTTGTCATTTAAAAATCTATGTTAGCAGTTCTCTTAAAATTTAAAAGTAAATACAAATGATTCTTCCCCCAGAGGCAATGCCACTTGCTTCTCATATGGACAGACAGGTGCTGGAAAGACCTATACCATGATAGGAACTCATCAGAACCCAGGACTGTATGCTCTGGCTGCCAGAGACATCTTCAGACAACTGGAAGTGTCCCAGCCAAGAAGGCATCTTTTTGTTTGGATCAGCTTCTATGAAATCTACTGTGGACAGCTTTACGACCTTCTAAATAGAAGAAAGAGGTATTGGGTATGAGTGGGAAACTGTAAATCTGTTCTTTATTGTTTTAAGCCAGAGTCCCACTGATGCTTCAGTAGTTTGGCCACCTAATGCAAAGAGCCAACTCATTGGAAAAGACCCTGATGCTTGGAAAGATTGAAGGCAAAAAGGGAAAGGGGCGGCAGAGGATGAGATGGTTAGATAGCATCATCAACTCAATGGACATGAATTTGAGCAAACTTTGGGAGATAATGGAGGACAGAGGAGCCTGGCTTGCTACAGTCCATGGAGTCACAAAGAGTCTGACATGACTTAGCAACTGAACAAGAATAACAACCCACTGAATTGTGGGATTTAATGAGAGGCTTTGGTATACCAGTGCCCTTTTATGAATGAGGGTCTCCTGAATCAGAGGCATATTTTTTAAAACTATCAATTCAGCTACAGAAAAATGTAAATTAGCCGTCTAGCAGTGTTTTATAAGTGATCAATATTGTAATGTTCATCAAAAGACAATGTCTCTTTTTTTGTGGTCTTTGAAAGGTCATAATTTTAGGAAGTCAGGAAACCAACATATACTTAAATCCCTTCCTGTTCTTTTCATCTATTATTATACTGGAAGAACTATAAATAATGTTTTCCCACTTCCTCTTGTTTTTTCTCTCAGTAATCTTAGGGTAAACTTAATGATAGTTTTCTGATATCAATAAAAATAAAATATTTTTTTCACATTAGACTTTTAATTCTTATAAGGCTTTAGCTATTCCCTTTACAACCTAATACAATACTTTAGAAATGTGTTCATTCAGTAACAGATTTTAAATCCCTCTTGTATTCTTCTGGCATAAAGTTTTGCTTAGGTTGAAACATGATTTTAACTGAGTGGGAGGCAATGAAGTTGTGAAGGTATCGACTGACTGGGAGAACAGGGAAGAGAGGGAGGGGCTGGGGAAGTGGAGAGACAGAAGGTTGTCCTGAGAGAATTCACCAGACCTGAGACCTGTTGGGAGCAGCCACACCAGGCAGAGAGGAGAGAGCTGAGGCTGGGCGTGGTGGAAGTCTGGGAAAACCAAATCAAGCTGTGGTACATATACACCATGGAATATTACTCAGCCGTTAAAAAGAATTCATTTGAATCAATTCTAATGAGATGGATGAAACTGGAGCCCATTATACAGAGTGAAGTAAGCCAGAAAGATGAAGACCAATACAGTATACTAACACATATATATGGAATTTAGAAAGATGGTAACGATAACCCTATATGCAAAACAGAAAAAGAGACACAGATGTACAGAACAGACTTTTGGACTCTGTGGGAGAAGGCGAGGGTGGGATGTTTCGAGAGAACAGCATCGAAACATGTATATTATCTAGGGTGAAACAGATCACCAGCCCAGGTTGGATGCATGAGACAAGTACTCGGGCCTGGTGCACTGGGAAGACCCAGAGGGATTGGGTAGAGAGGGAGGTGGGAGGGGGGATCGGGATGGGGAACACATGTAAATCCATGGCTGATTCATGTCAATGTATGGCAAAAACCACTACAATATTGTAAAGTAATTAGCCTCCAACTAATAAAAATAAATGGAAAAAACAAATCAAATGAAAGACACTAGCCCCCTGCAAAGGTATCCAAGCCCCATGGAGTTGTCTAAAAGGTCATGCAAGTTTCATGTGCTCCAGGCCAACACTGGAATGGGGAATAGGCATGGAGGAGCAGCTCCAGTTCATGGAGAGCATGATAGGTAGGCCCCCATCACAGAGGGGCACTAGGGTAGTATAACTGGAGAGGTCACAGAAGTGGGCTTAGGCAGGCCACCATTCTGTGGACTATTTCAACCAAAGAAAGGACCGTCAGTATGCCACAGTTCAGAGAACGTACTGGAGTTGGGGGTTCAGTCATGACACAACTGCCAAATAAGGAAGGGGTTACTTTCAGGAAGAGATGCTTTTCTTTTCTGTTCTCTGTGTTGGTTTTGAAGCTTCAAGTTAGCTTCACCACAGCTTCTCTTTCTAGCTTAATACCCTTATTTGGAGCCTTTTCCAGTCAACAAGGCCACTTCCTTTAAAGAACAGTTGGTATAAGAATAGAAGCCGTGTTGTGCAGTGCTGTGTGTGTGTGTGGTTTGTTTCTTTGTGAGTACAGTTCTTTAATGAGTTACATCAATATATTGCCCTGTATTTCTGCCTTTGATGATAGCCACAGGAGTGGGGATATGCTGACTTCTGGGTAAAAGCTTCTCTGGGGCTCTCTAGAGAAAACTCACACTTACTCTGAAAATGTCTTGAGCTGGGAGATATTAGGGTTTTTTGTTTTCTTTTTTTAATGTCTTTGGTTAATTGGCTCATATCTCTTTTTTTCCTGCTTTCTGAGACTTCTGAAATGTCCTGCTTCAGTGAAAGCACCCTTTCTTATTTGTTTCGAGCTGTTACAACTTATCCTGTTGTTTTTAAATAAAATATATTTTCTGTAAAAAGGGCTTTGACAAAGGTAGATAGAAGTATATGTGCTCAGTCTACCTCTTAAACTAAAAGCCAAAGTTTATAGATCTTAAAATTAACTCTTTAAAGTAGAAGATAAGTTGTCTTTATACCTTTGCATAAAGTTGTACAAGTATACTTCTTGCTTATATGATTTGAAAATACAGCAGTACACTTTAGGCTATTCATTAGGAACTTTCCGGGGTGAGCTCAGGGAATAGGGTCTGGGAAATATATTCAGGAGTGATGTGAGGGTGCTGAAAACTTGATTCTTCTTTTATTCCCAAAGCCCAACTGTTCCATTACCTGCCCCTTGGCAGATCTGGTTTGATGGTGGTAGATGTAACCATTCATTAAACTACGCTCAGGCCGGAGGCTTTCATTGCAGTACCAACTCTTCCTTGCTTCCTTCAAAAATATATCAGGACTCCTTATGTTGCAAGTAGTAAAATAAAACCCTACTGTTACTGGCTTAAGCATTTAGGGAAGTCATTGACTAGAAAGCCTAGAGAAACCTTAGGGTCTTTTGACTCTAAAGGTTCAGAGATGTTATAAAGACTCAGTTTCTTTGCATTTCTGTTCTACCTCCCATGGTATTAGTTTCATTCCAAAACGGTCTTTTTTGTGAATGCAAAATGGCTACCACTGCTCCCAAGGCCACATGCTTTTCACTTCTAGAGGGAAAAAGGAGTACCTAACAATCAGAGACTAGAAATTTATTTTGACTGGATTAGCAGAGTTCCTGTATCAACTCCTGAGTCAGTCACTGTATCCAGGAATCCACTGATTGGATCTGGGTTAACCACTCATTCTGTTCCTTGTAGCCAAAATTGTTGATTTATTTATGTACAGCCATCAAAGACCACCCCTGAAGCCTAGCATTGGAGTCAGGAGGTGTGGGGTTGGGCAGGGAGAAGGCATATCAATCCCACTCAATAGCAAAACTGCTACATGATGGGGGAGTGGTGGAATGGGTTATGAGGAGTCTGTTACTGGAGCTCTGCCAAACCAACCATGTTCTTGTCTCTGCAGGCTCTTCGCCAGAGAAGATAGCAAGCATGTAGTACAAATAGTGGGACTGCGAGAGCTTCAGGTGGATAGCGTGGAGCTCCTCTTAGAGGTAATCTTCCTCCTTTACTGCCCCACTGTAGCAGCCCAAGTACAAGGAAAGACATCATTTTGCTATCTCACAAGTATAATGGACTCAGATTTAGGCAAAGGGCAGACTTCCCTCATAGCTCAGTTGGTAAAGAATCTGCCTGCCATGCAGGAGACTCCAGGTTGATTCCTGGGTCAGGAAGCTCCGCTGGAGAAGGGATAGGCTACCCACTTCAGTGTTCTTGGGCTTCCCTTGTGGTTCAGCTGGTAAAGAATCCGCCTGCAATGTGGGAGACCTGGGTTTGATTCCTGGGTCGGGAAGATCCCCTGGAGAAGGGAAAGGCTACCCACTCCAGTATTCTGGCCTGGAGAATTCCATGGATTGTATAGTCCATGGGGCTCAAAAGAGTTGGACACAACTGAGTGAGTTTCACTTCACTTAGGCAAAGGGCAATGACAAACACGCCATTTCACATTTCTAAAATACAAATCCACTTCTGAGAGGATGGCTCCTTTCTGTACAAGGTCTCAGTGCCTTGATAGTGGGAAGTAAGGCATTTGGGAAAGCCTAATGCAGGAGAGGATACTTTGGGGCCAGTTTCAAAGGCTGCTAATGTGCTTTTCTATGGTAATGGGCTCTGGTAAAGGCTGCTAGAGAGAGAGATATTCATATTTTAAATAAAAATTTTAACGAATAATACCTTCACATGGACTCAAAATTTAAAAGTTACAGTGAAAATGTTCCTTTCATTGCCTTTTCTTGAGGCAACTAATTTATTTGTGTGTGTGTGTGTGTGTGTGTGTGTGTGTATCTGTCCAAAAGTATTTTAAAATCTGCTTTTTCATGTTCATGCTTTTAAAATACCCAACCTAGTGACTTTTTTTAGTATTTTCAAAAAGTTGTGCAGTTGTCACCACTATCTAATTCCAGAACGTTTTCATCACACCAAAATGAAATCCTGTACCATTAGCAGTTACTCTATTTCCCCTGCACCTGGTACCTGAAAACCATTAATTTCTACCTGTATGAGTTTACCTATTCTGGCCATATCATATAAATGTAATCACACAATATGTAAGCTTTCTCTGGCTTTTTTCACTTAGTGTAATGTTTTCAAGGTTCATCTATGTTGTTGAATGAAGTACTGATAAATGTACTTCATTCCTTTTTATGGCTAAATAATATTCTATTGTATGGATATATCATATTTCATTCATCTATTAGTTGATGGGCATGTAGTTTCAACCTTTTGGTTATTGTGAGTAATGGAGCTACGATCATTCATGTACAGGTTTTGTGTGGACATATGTTTTCAGTTTTTTTGACTATATGTGTAAGAGTGGAACTGTTGAGTCATACTTTTTGAGGAACTGACAAACTGTTTTCCAAAGTGGCTGCACCGCTTTATATTCCTACCAGGAGTGTAGAAAGCGGGGGGTGGGTGGGTATTGTTTTAGAAGCTCCCACAGTGATTCTAACATGCAGCTATCATAGTCATTCTAGTATATCCAACAAGCCTGGCTAGAGTCAAAGGAAGGAGACTGGAAGGACAAGTTGGGTACTTGACAATAACCACCTTTAGAACAGCTTCACAGTACATCCCTCCAGGGGCTTGGGTGTGTGAAATGGCAGGGTGGCCCACCATTGACACGAGTCTTTTTCTACAGTTTCTTTTTCTTGGGACAAATAGGTAAACTTTATTTAAAGGCTGGGACCTTGTATTTATGTGATTATCAGACTCCTGAGTCCTGGTATCCAAAATCCAAGAATGACTCCTTTTGTGGCTGTTTTTAACAGTCACCTGAGAGCCGAGACCCTCTTTCCAGTGATCGCAGAGGCAGATGCAGAACAAAAGAGGGTGGGACTTGTTGAAGGGCTCCCTTGAGACTGCTGACTATTCTTGACCTGTCCAGAGCTCCCTCCACGGCAGGGTCCTCAGGAGAGTGTTTCTCATACGCCTGTTGCCTGTGGTCTTCATGCCCCCACCTAGTCATTCCTTTATTTGGCTGGGAGTCTCAGGAGAGTTGGTCCTCACGATGCTGTTGTTCTGGAAATTAGACCAATTGAATGAGAAAGGATCAAACACTAGCCCTTTTCGTTGGCTATGGGTCAGAACTGTGTTAGTGGGCAGTCCAGTGTCAAATCTCTCTCATCCTGGAAGAGTTTATGGCACTGTTCTGTCCTAAGGTGTATTTTCTAAGACCAGCAGAGAGAGGTTTCTTGTTAGTGAACATATTGCCATTGTTGCCATATACCCTCAGTCTGTAATACTTATGAGGTGGTACAAGAAGGAAGCCAGCTGCGATCAAGGTGGAAAGTTAACATAAATTATGGATATCTGACGTGGCTACCCTCGCAAACATTTATTGACTTGGAGCAGCAGCACTTGCTAACTCAGGTGTCACCCTTTCTCTCGGGTGTCACCATCCCCCTCGCTCAGGTGTCACCTCTTGTGTTTGCTCAACTGTCACCCTCGGGCGTCATCTTCATGGATGTCACCATCGCATATCACCCACAGGCTCACACAGGCATGGCCACTTGTTGCCTGCCTGCACAACTAGCAGCTTCATTTTTCACACAGGATTGTCCTTCCTCCAAGAGGTTTCTCCTTCCAGGTATATTTTATTACCTGGTCTTAACAATCCAGGCACCAGGGTTTCCCTGCCTTTATAGAGGACTCGCTGATTCATCCAGATTTGGAATCAAGATTTTGTCAGGCAAATGATGGGCATTTTTTAGGTTTTCAGGTTTTCAAGTCTTTCTTACAGACATTACATGTACCTATAGGTATCCATTCCCAAACTTCTAATAAATCTGCTTCATGTTTTAATGCTGCCTTGGCTGTAATTGGTAGCCGAGGCCCACAGAGCAAGAGCTTCCCTAAGATAAGTCTCAGTCATATGCTGGTGATAGAGACTTAGTCTATACACAGTGCCTCTCCTGCTCAAGTGCTCATAGCCCATCTTTGGTATTTGTGCTGGAAGCTTGGTGATTAAAGCCTGGATGGAGCTGGGTCCTGGCACCATGTGTCCTTGAACACATCTTTTTCCTTTCTGAGCTTGAAACATGTGGATGTTTATGATTGGGTTGGGTGATAGAGAAGGAAATGAGATAATGTACATATAATACTGTGATGCTAGTTGAATTTGTCATGTATGTTATTTTTTTTTAATATATTTATTTATTTGGCTGTATCGGGTGTTAGTTGTGGCATGAGGATCTTTAGTTATAGCACGTGACCTCTTAGTTGTAGCATGTGGGATCTAGTTCCCTCAACAGGAATCAAACCCAGGCCCGTTGAATTGGGAGCGTTAAGTCTTAGCCACTGGACCAGCAGGGAAGTCCCCACATCTATTAATCTTATTAATAAGTCCCCAAATATTTCCAGTGCCATAGAATTCAACAGTTGTCTCTCCTTTCTATTGTAGCGGGTCCCCATTTTACTACTCATATAACATGTTTGTCTAAAGGGTCTAGATCAAGAAACTTGCCCAGTAGAATTTATTATGGAAGGAAGACTTTGAAAAGAAAGAGGTAGTCAGAGAAACGGGAGGCCTGTGATTTTTAAGGTGATGCATTAATTTTATTCTGTTTTTTGACTTGCATTTCTCTCAAATAGATTGTCTCTTTTTGTTCTTTATCCTCTTCCTTTCCTTTTCCTTCCTTCCTTCTTTTTTAAAATTTTTAATTGTACTTGGGAGCCATGGAATCTCATGTTGATCCATAAAGCTCTATTTCTCCATGGATCTCTGATTATTTTACATTTTTTTAAAGAAATAGTTTATGTTTTGGAAGTTTACACAAATATGTTAGTTCTTTAGTATATATTTTTAATTAGTATTTATTGAGAACTTATATGTGGTAATTGTAGTACTAACTGCTTTACGTACTATGTATTATCTCTTTTTGATCTCAGAAATAACTTATGAAATTACCATTTTATAGGTAAGAAAATGAGGCCCTGAAAAGTTAAGTAGATTTTCAAGAGTTGAGACAACCATATTGTCAGAACTGGCATGTGAACCCAGACAGTTTAACTTCATATTTTGTTTTTAACTGCTACACTTGAGTTGTATGCCACTTAAAAAAGTTTGTCTGATGATCTTTGCAGGCTGCCTCATTTTTACTCCTCAGAGCTCAGCTGCTTTATTCCACAGTTTCTGAAAAACATGGTGATTGCAGACTGCTACTGAGGCTGAGGAAACGACCATACACCAGAAATTCCCTCATGTCTTCCCTAAAAGGCATTTAGTCAGGAAAGGTCGTGCCAACATGTTAGATTTTCTGAGATCCACTCACAGGTACCTAGTACATCATTTTGAATAAGGTGTACTGAAAAGTCAAACATAAAACTCTGTAACAGAACCTCAGAAGACAGTCTTTCTTAACTCCCCTTGTGGGGATGAACCACAAGGCCACCCCTTCGGCTTCCTGTCAGTATACACAGTTCCTGACTAGGTATGACCTTGAGGCCTCTCTGAGCTCTCATTAGATTCCAGCAGAAGTAGCATCATTGCTGCCATCATGTGGCAGAGGGTACCTGGCTTCTATCCCTAGCCTGACCATATGCTGCCTGTATGACCTTGGATAATTCACTTAACTTCTCCTTTATCTATCAAGCATATCACTTACACAAATCACAAATGTAAACATTTAAAAGATCTCTGTTTCTTCATGAAGTTTGTAAAAGGCTCTGTGTGTGTGTGTGTGTGTGTGTGTTTATCAAAAGAGCTGTAAGAACCCTGAAACTCTGGGAGGAGGAGGAAATGCACCAGAATCTTTTTAACTCTGAAGTTATGGAAGGTATATAAAGAGAAGTTAAATAAAAATAATACAGATTTTAAGTAATCCATCATCTTTGCATTATGATATTTGAAAGTGTGAAATCAGAATGATAGGAAAGGCCAGGATAAGTAAGTACATTTAAACTAGATGGTTCACGGGAATTCCCTGGCAGTCCAGTGGTGAGAACTTGACACTTTTCACTGCTGTGACTCCAAGTTCAATCCCTGGTCAGGGAACAAAGATTCTGCAAGCTTCATGGCATAGATAGGTAAGTAAACTAGATGGATCAGTCATAGATCTGGTCTTAAGTGACCTAGCCAGCATCCAGCCTTATTTATCAGTATTTTGGGGGATGATATTTTGTTTTTGTTCTTTGGCACTTACCACAACCAGTATAAGGGATACTACTCCAACTCTTCTGATTTCTGATTAGCAGCAACAAGCTGTCCATGCAGTTGATAATCCAGTTTTGTAAATTAACAAGTTCTGCTCTTTACAAAAGGATTTATCAGGTAGTCCCTTTAAACTTTTAGCAAGCTATTTACAAAATGAGTGCATTTAAAATCTGGTTCTAAGATACAATTCTAAATCTCACAGGTAATCTTTAGAGACATAACTATCACTTAGGCCATGAAGAAACTTAATAGTAGTTAATTTTTTTTAAAGTACCTACCCCTGCTAGTTAAGGTATTTTATAAACTGTTGTTGAAGTTTGACTCTGTCAACTTTTGAACTCTTAATTTGAAAATGGTAGCCATGTTCAATATGATAAAAATTAAAATTCTGAGAGATTGAAATAGGACTTCCTTTAGTCTAATTCACACTGCAAATAAATGAATTTATCATAAGTGCCCCCACAATGTAGTGGAAACCACATGGGCTTTGGAATCAGCCACACTAGATGCTAGATGTAGAATTTGGTTCTGCGACAAAACAACTATTTGTGAGCAAGTCAACCTTTGAATTATTCCTCAGTTATAAACTGAGCATAATAATCATACTCACCTCATCTTAGGCTACTGGGAGGATTCTGTCAAATATTTTTAAGGTTCATCACCATATTTGATTCTCAGTAATTAACACTTCCCAAAATCAGGGCAGCATATTCATATATGGCTGTGTTTTCAGTGGCTTGAGGCCATTCCTGAGGCTTCACCTCTTCTCCCCCATTCCTTTGTGGCCAGAGGGATCCACATTAGTCTTTATTCCCATTTGAATGGGCAGTGGTCTCCAGGGTAATCATGGGCTCATAGCAATTGCGATAACTCATCACTTCCATGTTTCCGCATGTCAGGCCTGGTCTCTTTCGTGATTGCATTGTGGTGGAACAGCTGGATGTGATTATTCATTCTGGGATGCACATTTCTGTCCTTTGCTTCAGTTACTACGACAGATGGGTATTATGGGACCTTACTCTGGAGCCAAGTTATGCCCTGCGGAGTTGAGTCAGGATAAATCCATCAAAGATATTAAAAACAGTGTATGAGATCAAGAAGTAAATTAGCTCTTGAGCTGTTGAATGTTCTCCCGCAAGATTAGTTTTCCACATTGTTGTCATTGCTCTTGGGTACTTACTGTTTATGATTTAGTGTTTAGGCAGTTTTCCACATAGAGGGAAAAGACTGCAGTATACTGACAAATCTCTGTCTGGTCTGTGCTGCTCTCAGCCAGCTCTTAGGAGCCAGAGGGCTTTGTTTACTCCTTGCAGAAGTCACCCTATGGATTTTATTTTCAGGTGATCCTCAAGGGCAGCAAGGAGCGCAGCACCAGGGCCACTGGAGTTAATGCAGACTCCTCCCGCTCTCACGCTATCATCCAAATTCAGATCAAAGATTCAGCCAAGAGGACATTTGGCAGGTGAGCTGGAAATATGCAGGGAACTGCATTGTCTGCCTTTCCTTAATGTGACTTTGAAATATGTGTTGTCAACAACAGGACATCCTGCCCCATAGAGTTCTTTATTTCAGGGATACACCATAGAGTTATTAACTCTGAAATAAATCATTGTACCAAAGTGCCACCAGTTGATTAACCATGAAGTAATGACCTATTGTTGGTCAACTCTAAGTTATTAAAAGGAACATTGATTGCTTCTAGTGTGAAACACAGTATCAGCAGAGGAATAGTAGGAAATGCATCTCAGAGAGCTTACAGGCCAAAAAAAAGGAAAATTAATCCATCCTTCTTGAAAGAAGCCATACGACAGTTGGGTACATTCATCGCCTCTCTGGTGCTATCTTAGCATCACTCTGCCACAGTGATGGATGGGCCTATCTCACGTCTGAGTAATGAGTCTTTCAGGGGGTGGGGGGCTGGAAAGCAGCCCACAAAAGTCTCTATTTAATTATCTAAGTGGTCACCTAAGTGATTTGCATTGTAGTCATTTAGCCTTATGGGAAGAATGTTTAATTAATTTCAATCATACTTTCTCACAAATGGTTAAAGCCAACAGAAGGGTGTAAGTGGATTAAAATCTTGTTTGGAAAGTTTTGGAAAACTGATAGTAATATCTTGAACTTTCCTGAGGATGGGCTTGTGTTGATTTCTTCCTGCCATCCCAAAATGTTGGCTGATATAAAAAGAAACCAAAGCCCCAAAGAAGTCTTGCCTGCTGTGTCTATTCTCTAGGATCTCTTTCATTGACTTGGCTGGCAGTGAAAGAGCAGCGGATGCCAGAGACTCAGATAGACAGACAAAGATGGAAGGCGCGGAAATAAACCAGAGTCTTCTGGCTGTAAGTTGTTCAAAACCTTTCATCTAAAAGTCTTTCTTGAGAGATTTTTCCCATCTTTACATGCAACCAAAGTGTGTGAGGGTGGGTTGGAATGAGGCAGTGGGATTCCAGGGTTGGAGATGGAGGCTGCCCGGTGAGATTCTCCGCAGTTCTAGACAGCTCTTCCTCTGTCCCTGCCTTCTTTTCCTCTGGTCAGTCCTGCCAATTAGAAACAGAAGTATTTCTGCAGTTGCATGAATGGTTCACTTAAGTACATTTTCTGTTCTCGTCAGGTTTTAAAATTACCATCAGGAGGTACAGAATGTCTGATTATCTCTTTTTGTGATTTTGAGAATTAAAAAAGAGTCAAGTGTTATCAATCTAATTCCTCCATTATTATGTTTCCTATCAACCTTTATGCCTTGTGGTTTTATCAGGCTTCAGTGAGCATTACTTTTATCCCATTGCTTTATTAGGAATTCCAAAATGGTGATATTCTAATCCTAATATTCCTCTGTATTTATTAGCTGGAAAGAACTTTCCCCCAACTATCTGATTATCCTGAAGTGTAACTCATACAATGGAGGCAAGATAAATGCTTGGTTCTTTGCCTTCACTCACCAGTTTTCAGAATGAGTTGATGTCCTGGTAACCTGAACGTGACCATGAGTTTGTTGTTCTTTACTTTTTTTGTTTGTTTTTGTGTTATTATAAACTCACTGTCCTCTCTCTTTTTTTTTTTTTTTAATTTATACATTTTTGGCCCTTGTGTTCCTGTGTCTTTTTGTCACAACCCTACTAGTCTTTGGCTTTCTAGTATGACAAAATGTTGTAGGCTTATCTTGTACATTTTTTCCCCAGAACTTAAATCAGCCACTTCTTCAACAAGCCTTGGTTTTAGAGGGAAATGGTATTTAGGGAGCATTTAGGAGTGCTAGTGGTGATTATCACCACTGGGTGAGTTCTTACTTCTAGGTCATTTTGATGGACAGAGAAGGGGAAAGTGTATCATGGATTCATACTAATAAATTAATTAAAAATTAAGACTACAGGGTTTTTGCTTAGCTTTTTTGAATTTATATTTCTCTCCCTTTTCTCTTATGCTAAAATTCTTAGTTCCTAACAACATTAATGTAATTTATTTGCTCTACCTCCATATGTATGTATACCAAAATAATGGTATATTACTTTTAATATGATTACTGAATTCAGATTAAGATTTCTTTGCAGTTGTCCTTTTTACCCTTATGTTGTATCCCTCTTGGGATGTACAGTCATAATATTATATTGCAAAGTCTCTTTAAATAATTCTGTGTGTTTAAGCTCACCAATTTTGTATTCAGTTAAAGAAAAATTATAAAGTAAGCCACATTCAGAGAAGGCTAGTGTTCATCTTGGTCCTCTCAATCCTGTCATCCCCCTCCCTTTAGGTAACCATTTTCTACCAACATGTTTGTTTGTGCTCACCCTGTTCTCAGGAGAAAAAAGAAAAGAAAAGGCTAGCATACTGTTAACACTGTTCTGCAGTTTGCTTTTTTCACTTAACAGTATCCTGGAGCTCATTCACAACTGTGTATAGAGACCCCCATTCCTTTTTAGTACTGCCCTGTTTCCATCCACATTAAGTCTTTTTGATTAAACTGAAATCTCCTACTAGACACATTACTCTCAGGTCTCATGAGGGGTAAGTTGAGAGGCTGAGAGAGGTGAGAGAGTCGGCATCTTTTTATTATTATTTAAAATTTTTGAATAATTTTAGATTTTAAAAAAGCTTCAGAAATAAACATATAGCATTCCTTCACCTAGCCTTCCCAGTGTTAACATTTTATATAATGATAGCAATTTAAATCAGGAAATGAACATTAAAATAGTTCTATTAACTGTCTACAGACCTTGTTTGAATTTCATCAGTAGTCCCACTCATGTCCTCTTTTGGGTCTAGTTACCTATAGTTGTCATGGCTCTGTAGTCTCCTTAGTTTTTGTCAATCTTGACCTTAACACTTTTGAAAAATGCTGGCCAATTATTTTGCAGACTGTGTCTGAATTTGGGTTTGTGTAATGTTTTCTCATTATTAGGTTGAGATAATGAATTTTTAGCAAGAGTAGCACAGAAGTTGTACCCTTCTCAGTGTACTGTAGCCGTCAATATGTCATTACTGGTAATGTTAAACTTGATCACTGAGGTCAGGTGGTTTGTGCTAGGTTTCCCCATTGTGAAGTTATGATTATTCCCTTTGTAACAAGTATCTCATGGACAGATACTTTAAAACTATGCAGTACCTATAATGTCCATTGATGACTCTTACCTGTAATAGTTATTACTGTGGGGTTTACATGATGAGGTTTTTCTGTGTCCATCATTCTATATTAGAGGATCCCCTTGTGGCTCAGTGGTAAGGATCCGCATGCCAATGCAGGAGGTGCAGGTTCGATCCCTGGGTTGGGAAGAGCCCTTGGAAAAGGAACTGGCTACCCACTCCAATGTTCTTACCTGGAGAATCCCATGGACAGATGAGCCTGGCAGGCTACAGTCCATGGGGTTGCAAAAGAGTCAGACACGACTTAGTGACTGAGCACACAGTCTACATTAATTAGTTGGAATTCTACTGCAAGAAAGAGCTGGTTTTTTCTCTCTATTTATTTACTTACTTATAACAGTAAATGGGTATTTCTTTCATTTGCTAAATTAGAATCCATTTCTATCATTTCTTATTTTCTTGCTCACATTTTCCCAAATGGCTATTGGGAGTTCTTTCTGGGGTTCTGTCCATAAGTTCTTTCAGGTTGGTTTTGTATCCTTTTGACATGCTCATCATTTTTTGAGCATCTTCTTGCCTTTTGGCGCTACAAGGTGTCACACCCTCTTCCTTGCCCTTGCCCTGAAATCAGTCGTTTCTCCAAGAAGCTAATACACTTTTGAGTACATACTATATACTAGTGAGTTTAATCTTCACAACAGATTCTCTTATTCCCTCTTTATAGATCAGGATTCTGAAGCTCAAGTTAAGTGAATTTGCCAAGGGTCTACAGCCTCTAGCTAGAAATCTTTGATTCTCATGTTTAAATTTATGGTGTAGGAATTAACTAGGAAACCCATGAGGTACCTGTGGAGAGGGCTTCCCAGGTGGTGCTAGAATCCACCTGCCGATGCAGGAGTTACAGGTTGGATCCCTGGATCGGGAAGATCCCCTGGAGGAGGGCATGGCAACCCACCCCAGTATTCTTGCCTGGAGAATCCCATGGACAGAGGAGCCCGGAGGGCTGTAGTCCATAAGGTCGCAAAGAGTCGGACATGACTAAAGCAGCTTAGCATGGCATGGCACCTGTGGAGTATCCTTGGGGCTTGGCTGTCTTTCTTATGTGGGAGACAGCATGTAAAGGAGCCTGGAAACAAGCCTTAAAGAATAGGATCAAAATCTTGTGCTTTGTGAGGCGTACAAAGATGCCCCTTTTTTCTTTCCTGGGTATTTCCCTTGCTTTTCCCTTAGAGCTTAGTAAAGTCTACTTTCCATTCTAATTCACCAAGGCTAAAGGGACCCAGGGGCTCATAGAAATTGATGGCCACACTTGGATTTGAGTATGTAAGGGGCAGGTGTGGGCCAGGTTTGGTTACCTGTTATCCCTTCTAGAGAATCTTCCCAGTACTAAAGTTTGGGGATATTGGACTGACTTGTAATAAGAGAGGAAATTCCTTTATACCATCTTATAACCTTGCAGCTTCTTGGATAGAGAAGGGTTAGCTGTGGACATCTATGGCTGCTGCCAAGAACAGTCACGGGAGACTCTCAAGGCTAATTACCTTTTCTTGGTGAACTCCCAGCACTGGCAGTTCCAAGGGATCCCTTCCATTCTCTTCCCTCCCTTTTTTCTCATTTACTGTCGCTTACCCTAGATGCGTGACTCAGAAATAGAAGGTCTGTCCTCCCTGGTCTTGTCCCCTCAACCCCTGCTCTTTCTGATGGGCATGTTGCCCTTGGAGATGTACATATCCAGATTTCTGCTGGCACTAGTGATGTCCAGTGAGCACTTCTTTAAGAGGCTCTGCCCAGGAGCAAGTGACATGCCCTTCTTTGCCTTTGGGCCACCATCCCTACTTTTTTTAATGAGGGTGTAGACCTAGGTCATTTCTCAGTTCCTTCCCAGCTCTGCCTCCAGGATTTCTCCTGTTCCATTCAGACAACTTGTATCTGAATCTGCACTTGAAGCTGTACCTACAGGTGTGCATGTGTGAGCAGGGAGGTGGGGGAGCGGCAGGGATATTTTCTCTGTTTAAGCTCATCTTGTAGTTGGGCAGAGTGTGAGGAGAGAAAGGGAGCGGCAAGCCAGAACTGCCACCACATCAGTTGGACTCTGGGACCGATGGGAGGGTCCCTGGGTTTGTCAGTTCTGCGCTATCAGCTCTAATCCTAGGTTCACAGCCTTTAAGTTGAGAGGGGGCCAGGGGCAGGGTAGGCATAGCTAGCATAGGATGATGTTTTCCGGTCTACCTTGATTGTTCTTGTTGAGCAAGAAACTACCAGGGCATTTTGACTTCCTTTGGAGGAGGGTTGCATGAGTGTGGTTTATTTTTTAAAAAATCTGATCTGTTAGTCTCACATTGCATGTGATATTTGATGTGCTTTTTATTCTACCACTTTGCAGCTGAAGGAATGTATCCGTGCATTGGATCAGGAACACACCCACACTCCTTTCAGGCAAAGCAAATTAACTCAGGTAAAGTTAAATATGAGCTTTGAGTTCTGGTTCACTCGTGTGTTCCTTCTTCCATTCATTTAATCATTCAGGAGAGCATCCATTGCCAGCAAGGCATGATGTGGTGGAGGGCAGGCGGGGAGGGAGGGGGAGGAGGGGAGGAGTCACCTTCCTTCTAGGAGCTCTCAGTCTTGAAGAAGAAAGGGCATCCTCAGGCAGGGATCCCTGCAGGACACAGCAGCCAGGCAGTGGTGGTCACCGTCCAACAACTTTCCATTTACTTCTAACAAAAAGAAACCTTGTTGATTTAGTGGCTGGCGTCTCTGAGCCTTTGAAGGGGATGGTAGTGTAGCTGTCTTGGTTCTCTCTTAGTTGTAGACCTTAGATAGACCAATGTTTCAAGACAAAAAATAATGGCGCATTTAAAAAGAATGAGATGGATTTTTGACATGTCCTTCCGGGAAAGATGACCAAGATCTATAGTTTAAATATATGAAATAAGAAAAAAAAAACTACACATAAAAATTATGCATCTCTGTTAGCTGATTATTTTGAGTAATAGGACCATAGCTTATTTTTTTTCTTCCATTTTTCTGTCATGAAAAAGTGCTTTATTGTTAGGAATCACCAAGAAGAGTGGCTCCTGGAGGGCTCAGCCTAGGTACAAACAGCTGTGAAGACAGTTACAGGGACCCCTGGTTCCCTTCTGCACCAAGGCTGGGCACAGTAGGGGACAGACGAGGCAGGAGGCGGTCTCGGTGAGGCGCTCTGTATTCTGGGAGGAGTTTTCACTCTGTGCAGCTAGACCAATAGCTTCATGGGAGCTGGAGCAGAACCTATGATAACATAGCTCCTAATTTGTTAGGATCAGTCATCTATGGGTTAGATGGTTTCTTCTCAAACATGACTATAGCTGGGGACTCAGGAAACCCTTCTTTTGGGTGGTTAGTCCTGATTCTTACATCGGCTTTGTTATTTTTCAAAACTTGTCCTCCACCCCCAGAAATTGTGTTCCTGTTTAATTAAATCAGTAATTTCACACATAAATCCACTTATAGAATCATACACCTTTTTCACACAAACATAAGTTTTAGATCTTTCCAGGTGCCTAAGTACATATATCCATAATTAGTTTTTATGGTTGTATGCAGTTTATAATTTTTTAATGTTACTTGTTTATAGACTTAGAGATTTTCCAAATTTTACTATTATAATATTGTAATCAATATCCTGTGTATACTTTTTTTTAAAATCAGTTGAGCAATTGTCTCTTTAGGATAAAGTCTTTGAAGTGTGATTGCCAAACCAAAAGTAGGAACACTTTTTTACCAGGTTTTTACCATATTACCAAACTGCCCTCCCAAAAGCATGTACCAGCTCACACTGCATAGTACGTGGGCAGCATAGCAGTGTGCAGGAGCACCCTTTCCCGAGACCCTCACCAGAGCAGGTTCGTGTGAGTCTTTCTTAATCTTACAGGCCCCCAAATTTTAATTTTTTAATTTATTTATTACTTGACTGCACTGGATCTTAGTTGAGGTAACGAACTCTGAGTTGCAGCATGTGGGATCCAGTGGACCCCCCACCAGGGAAGTCCCCACAAATTGTAATTTTGTAAAATGCTTTGTCTGCATTTCTTTGATTAGTGGTGCAGTGAGTACCTGTTTTGTTTGTTTAGTGATCATTTGTGTTTCTTCTTCTATGAACTGCCTTTCTGTAGAAGGTGGTAGGTATGAGTATGGCCCAGGTCCTGAACACAGTATGTGGTCAGTATGCCCTTTGTTGGTTGATTTCACTGACCTGCCTTCTGTTTCGAACAGGTGCTGAAGGACTCTTTCATTGGCAATGCCAAAACCTGCATGATCGCCAACATCTCACCAAGCCATGTGGCCACTGAACACACTCTGAATACTTTGCGCTATGCTGACCGGTGAGTCCTCCTCAGGTGTCAGAGTGGGGGTGGTGTGTGTGTGTGTATGTTTGTGAGAGATGCAAACACAAGGATCTGACCTTGAGCTCCCCAAACCTGTTCTTGGGATAATAATTCTGCTGCCAGGGGAATGTGCAACTGGTCATGTAAAGAATGTGTCTTGGTAGGCCCTGTCATTTTACAAGTGTGAACGTGATGAGGAATATGACATGTTCCCTTGTTCAGGAGACAACTCCATCAGTGAATCTTAAATACGGAGATGAAATATTTTTCCAGAGTGGAAGACTTTGTGAGGTTTTCTTCCTGCCAGCCTCAGCCCTAATTGTTAGGGATAGAGTACCTATTATTTGTTAAGGCAGAAGTCCTCAGAGCTATGTAGGTTCAGAAGAGATCAACCTTGTTTTATGGAAGGAGAAACAGGCCCAGAAACGAGCAGGGACCTTAAAAGGGCTCATTGGGAGTTGGTGGCAGAACTAGTACCTCTGACTGCCAGGTCAGGGCTCTAGTGACTTTGGTATCTGCCAGGGCCCCTCCCATCTCTTACCCTGGGGTCATGTGTCTCCTTCTCATTACCATCCTTTCCTCCGGCTGCTTTGCTGCCTGGTCCTACCGTACAACACCTCCTCTTGGTCTCTCAGAAGCTGTCTCCAAAGTTAACAGACTATTTGAGGGGAACCTGGTGTTCTTAAAATTACTGTTGAAGAATCTTTCGTATACGTGGCATTTTATGAAACTCACTGGGAAGGAAAGATAAGCTATCACTTAAGTTCCATGAGAACAGGAACCTTATCTTTTTCTCCACTGTCTCTATCCTGCCCAGACAGTACTTGATACCTAGTAGGTGTGTTATTAATATTTGTGAATGAAAGGAGGAGCTCGCCCTGGGCGTCAGGGCTTCAGTGATGTTCTCTGTGTATTTTATCTCATCTCATTTCAATAGGAGAGACCATTTACAAAGTGGCTACTAGAATGGACTCTAGAGTGAAACTATCTGGGCCAGTACCCTGCCTCTGCCACTAGCTAACTGAGTGATCCTGGGCTAGTTTTCAACTTCTCTGAGCACCAGTTCCCTTAATGTCAACACGGATAATGATAGCACCTACCTCATGTAACAGTTACTTGGATTCAGTGAGATGACGTGTATGAAGGGCTTAGGGCCACACCTGGCACAGAGTGAATGCTCATTGTATATTAACTTCAACAATAGTAATATTATAGGCATATGCTCAGTCATGTCTGATTCTTTGTGGTCCCTGGACTATAGCCCACCAAGTTCCTGTCCATGGAATTTTCCAGACAAGAATACAGGTATACTGTGGAAATACTGCAACTTTGGTTCAGACCGCTGTGATAAATCACACTGATGTCCCAGATTGGTTTCCCAGTGCATGTAAAAATTATATTTACACTGTACTGTGTACTTTATCACATGTGCAGTAGCATTATGTTTTTAAAAAACAAGGTACGTACCTTAATTTAAAAAAATAACCTTGTTGGAAAAATGGCACTGATAGACTTGCTCTATGCAGAGTTGCTATGAACCTTCAGTTTGTTTAAAAAAAAAAAAAAAAAGCCCCCTCCACAAAGCAAAATGCAATAAAGTGAAATACACCTATAATAGGTTTCCTAAATAAGTTTCCTCAAGGAGGATTCCTAATTGCATGGCTTCCTTAATGCCAGCGTCCTAGCCCTGCTAGAAGATAAGTGAAGACTGAGATCAGCTAGAAGACATGGGATGATCCAAAATTGTTTCCCCCAAACCAGTATGGCTTCAAGTTCCTTCCCCCCATGTGTCCATTACCCTGCTTCAACAGTTACTAACCCTAGGTCAGTCTTGTTTCATAAATCCCTCCCTGCATCACAGACATAACAAGTGCTTGAACTGAGAACATCATTAGGAGCAGAGAATAAAATATTCCTCTCAGCGCTTCAGTAAAGGAAGATGAAAGTAACCCTAACCCTTTCTCAAGGGGGATGTATTGAGTACAGTTGAGAAATTATTTAAAATAATTTTTGTTAAAAACTAGAAAAAGTGGCTCAGACAGTCTATTATGGAAGGGAATATGAGGAAAAGAAAGAAAGGCAGAGAAAGACAAAGGAACAGGCGGAAGCCTTTGCAATGGCTATGAAAACCGTTCTTAAACTGCCTGAGAGAAATGCCCAGAGGGACCCAGGTGAAAAGGGATGGGCTTGCTATTGCTGTGGAAAGGAGGGGCACCTCAAGCGAGATTGCCCTCAGGCATCTAAGCCGCCCCCGGCTCCATGTCTGGTCTGCAAGGGGCCACACTGGAGGAGACTGCCCCCAGAGGCATAGGTTTCAGGGGTCGGACTCTCAAGACAACCAGGACTGAAGGTGCCCGGGGGTCCCCACACAAGCTCCTGTCCTAATTACACCTGAGGAACCCCGGGTATTGATAACTGTGGGAGGCCAATCCATCGATTTCCTTTTAGATACTGGGGCAACTTACTCTGTGCTTACTGAAGCCCCTGGCCCACTTTCTTCCCAATCCACTTGCGTAATGGGATTGTCTGGACGAGCCAAAAGTTATTATTTCAGTTATTCTTTATCTTGCAACTGGGATTCTGTGCTATTTTCACACGAGTTTCTTATCGTGCCAGAATCACCCTCACCCCTTTTGGGGAGGGATATACTGAGTAAGGTCCATGCCTCTGTTTCCATGAATATGGAGCCCTCCCTTTCTCTCCCTTTAGTTGAACAAAATATAAATCCTAGAGTATGGGATGATGAAAAATCTGTGGGTCGAGCACAAAATGTTATTCCTGTAGTTGTCAAGCTCAAAGACCCACACTATTCCCACATAAGAAGCAGTGTCCACTAAAACCTGAGGTTAAGGAAGGGTTAAAACCCATCATTGAAAATTTAGAGGAACAGGGACTATTAGTTCCCTGTAACAGTCCATATAATACTTCTGTTTTGGGTATAAAGAAATCAAATGGTAAATGGAGACTAGATCAAGATTTACGAATAATAAATGAGGCTGTAGTTCCTTTAAAAAAAAAAGTAGAAAAAGTATAATAGAAATAATCTTTCATTCAAAGCAGTCTGAAAAATTACTGAAAGTAAGTATGAAAGTCATTTATTTTATGTCCTTAAATTAATTGTAGGTAATAATCTGTACACACACAAGATAAGAATGATTTTATTGCTTATTTGAAATTTTCCTCTGATTTAAAATTGTTCTTTCTTCACATACTAAAAGAATGTTGGTAAATAGTACAAAAATAAAGTTCTAGCTGGACCCCTAGTAGGTTTATCAGAAAAGAGCTCAGTAACAAGAGTGATTCTGGTAAAAGAGTACACTGGAAGTACTTCGCATCAGTGATCAAATTACCTGTAAGATTTCTTCTGACACCCTCAGATTTCTAGAATTACTTCTGTGACTCCTAGGAAGAAACTTTGGTGTTTCTCTTTTAACAAAACTAAAAGAGCTCAGTTTTATAACAGGAGGTAATTTGGAACCATCTAGACTTGCTGTGGCAACTCTCAACTTATTCCTTGTGTGTATGTCCTGCTGCAACACCTCAGCAAAGGCCCAAGAACACAACATGATTTTCAGTTCAGTTCAGTCACTCATTCGTGTCCGACTCTTTGCGACCCCGTGAACCGCAGCACACCAGGCCTCCCTGTCCATCACCAACTCCCAGACTTTACCCAAACTCATGTCCATGGAGTCGGTGATGCCATCCAACCATTTTATCCTCTGTTGTTCCCTTCTCCTCCTGCCCTCAATCTTTCCCAGCATCAGGGTCTTTTCAAATGAGTGAGTTCTTCGCATCAGGTGGCCAAAGTATTGGAGTTTCAGCTTCAACATCAGTCCTTCCAATGAACACCCAGGACTCATCTCCTTTAGGATGGACTTGGTTGGATCTCCCTGCTGTCCAAGAGGCTTTCAAGAGTCTTCTCCAACACCACAGTTCAAAAGCATCAATTCTGTGCTCAGCTTTCTTTGGATGTTCAACTGTCACATCCATACATGACTGCTGGAAAAACCATAGCCTTGACTAGACAGACCTTTGTTAGCAAAGTAATGTCTCTGCTTTTTAATATGCTGTCTAGATTGGTCATGACTTTCCTTCCAAAGAGTAAGTGTCTTTTAATTTCATGGCTGCAGTCACCATCTGCAATGATTTTGGAGCCCAAAAAAATAAAGCCAGCCACTGTTTTCACTGTTTCTCCATCTGTTTGCCGTGAAGTGATGGGACTGGATGCCATGATCTTAGTTTTCTGAATGTTGAGCTGTAAGCCAACTTTTTCACACTCCTCTTTCACTTTCATCAAGAGGCTCTTTAGTTCTTCACTTTCTGCCATAAGGGGGTTGTTGTCTGCGTATCTGAGAAACATGACTTCAGTCATGACTTTGTTTCTCTGCTTACTATGTTACCTGCTTCCCTGCTTCTCAGACCTAAAAGGAAGTCAGGTCTCAGTGTCAGGTTTACTATCTTGGTTTTCAGAAATGGCCAGGGTGTCATTTGGCTACTACTAAGTGGATTAAAACCAAAACAATGGAAAAGACATTTTCTGAGAGCTCCCCGGCAAAAGTACAACTCCCTCCATAAGGGATTTCAACACAGAATCTACAAGCATACCACTGGAGAGTCACATTTTACTTGATGTCTCCTTGTAAATCCAAGTTCTTCCACTGCTTTTATTTTGTTTTAGGTATCACAGAGTGAGAGACTCTGATCTTGGCAGCTCAATCCTAGCAGACTTAATTCTGGATTTTTCCATGTTCTCTAAAATTCCCTTGTAGAATAGAGCATGGTTCTCTTATTTCTCTATCTAGGGGCTGATTTTTGCCTCCCAGAGGATGTTTGACAATGTCTGGAGACAATTTTGATTGTTGTGACAGAGAACAAAGGCTGCTGTGATCGTGGGTAGAAGCCAAGGAAGTTGCTAAACATTCCACAGGCAAAAGACAGCTCCCCACAACAAAGAATTGTCTGACCCCAAACACCACTGGTGCTAAAGTTGAAAACTCTGGGAACAGACAGGTTGTTTCTACCTCCATGGAATTAGCACAAGCCGACTTATTTCTGAGAGCTTGTGCTTCTTGAAGTGCCCAGCAGGTTGGAGGGAACTCATTTTCTCAAAGAAGCCTAAAAGGAGGTGGTTTGCAGGAAGAGAAGGTTCTGATTATGGAATAGTAGGTGAGGAGTAGACACATGGCTCTTGAGTGGGCTGATCTTCAGTAAGTCTGGTATGGGCCCTGCGTGGACATAAGTTCTGAAACCAGCTCCTCTGGCCTGTCCCTCACATGCATCTGTGGTATTTCAAACACTCTCCTGATCATGGAATATTGGGTGCATGCTAATATCCTCAGAGAAGACACTGATCTTTGTTCAAGTAAAGTGACGTATTTCATGTTGAAATAGAATATCCCCTTTATTCTTTTCTTTATTCTCTCCCAGATAAAAAAATAATTCCCAGTTCTTGTAATACTTTTCTTTGGTTTTTGTTTTCTCTGAAAGCTATAGGAAGGGAATTACAGGAATGTACATTAACATAAAATGGTCATTTACAGGGTCAAAGAACTAAAGAAAGGCATTAAATGTTGTACTCCAGCTAACAGTCGAAATCAAACATCTGGAAACTCTTCTAACTCTTCTCCAAAACGAATTCAGAGCTCTCCTGTGGCCCTGCCAGGGGACAAATGTTCTCCCAAAAAAGTCAAGCTGGGGCTTCAGCAGCCGCTCACAGTGCCATCTGGTTCCACAAGAGGGAAGGCCCATCCTCTGGCTAGTCACCCAGCCAATATCCCTTTTGCTTCTGTACCTAAGGTTCCTGGCAAAGAGGGTGGCTCTCGAGGGAGTCCTCCCCGAGAGTGGGTCATTCAGACTAGCTCTAGCAAAGGATGTGTGCCGTCTGGACACGTAGCCATAAAAAGGGCAGAAGAATCAGCTGCATTATGCTCTAAGAAAAACCCAGTTGGCAACAAAACCGCCCTAGGCTGGGGAAGCAGGGCGCCAGGCCCAGGAGGGGACCTGGTCCGTGGTCAGCCACCCTCCCGGTGCAAGAAAGTGCAGACTGTGCAGCCAGTGCAGAAGCAGCTTGTGTCACGAGGCGAGCTCTCCTTTGGCAGCGCCCACCGCTTAGCGGAGTATGGTCAGGGCAGCAAGGAGGGCACACCTAGCCGGCCTGCCTCTGAAGCTTGGACCAGCAACATCCCTGCTCGTCAGAAGGAGCGGGAGGAGCATTTGCGCTTTTATCACCAGCAGTTCCAGCAGCCACCTCTCCTCCAGCAGAAGTTACAGTACCAACCCCTGGAAAGGTTTTTATGCCGGTCCCGGCCCCCAGAGGGGCAGCTTCAGAACGACATCCCTTCTTCCTTCCACCCTCATCGTGCTGAGAGTCATGATGGAGCCCAAGTCCCCCAAGCGGAGGACCCTGATGACAGCGACTTCAGTGAAGATTCTTTTTCACACGTCTCCTGTCAAAGGCCCAGAGAGCAGGGAAAGAATCAGGAGAACAGTGGAGGCTCGTTCTTCCTTCATCAGAGGGAGCAAGGTCCTGAGGAGCGGGTGGCTGAGAGGCAGCAGAGTCTGTTTTTCAGCCCAGATGGTGACAAGGAGGGTGTAACTGGAAGCTGGGTCTACTCCCAGGACCCCGCAGGCCACAGAAGGATAGCACTTGATCACGGCTGCAGCCCAGGTCAGGTGCCCTTGGACTGGAGCAGAGAGGAGGACTCAGACCTCTCAGGGCCTCCTCCCAGAGAAGACCTGGCAGGGAAGCCTTACTGCTCACAGGTAGACTCTGTATATGGTCGGGGAAGAGGTGGCGGCCCTGCTTTTGACCTCAGACAGGAAGCCTTCAGAAGTGAGGTTCCTGGGCAGGCCGAGGACAGCTTGCCATCCCTGGGGGAAGATGGTTTCGCTTGCTCACTATCCCACATCGCAGTTCCTGGGTCCCCAGACCAGAGAGACACAGTGAGCACACCCCTGAGAGAAGTCAGTGAAGACAGCCCAACTCTGGAGACCAGAACAATGAAAGACAGTAACCCTTTCCAAGGAGAAGACTCTAAAGGTGAATTAGGCACGAGCTCTGAGTATGCTTCTGGACTGATGGCTCCGCTCACCATGTCCCTCCTGGAGAGCCTGGATGATGGGGGCCCTCCTTCCTGGGAGCAGCCTGCCCAGGATGGAACTGCGCGTGGTCTCGTGGCAGCAGACACAGAGGGGCCAGCAGTGGGCCACACAGTGTCATCGGGTGATCCAGAGGCAGTCCCGCCAACGTCTTCGGCAGCTGAGCACCTGTGGCTCTCCTCATCTCCCCCCGACAACAAGCCTGGGGGCAGTCTTCCAGCTCTGTCCCCATCACCCATCCATCAGCACCCGCCTGACAAGCTGCCCGATGGGGAGGCTGACCCGGGGGAGGCCTGCCAGAGCAGAGACACCGCACTCTTCTCCCGGGGGCACTGTGATGCCAATGTTGAGACAGAGCTGGACGGCTCCCAGGGTTTCCTGGGAAAGCCCTTCCTCACCTTACATCCTGGAGGACCTCACGTTGGGCCTACACTCACCCCCCAAGCAGGAAGTAGTAATGTGGCTGACCAGCCCTGGGCCCAGGAGAGAAAGCAGCTGACAGGGCCCAGTTGGCCGGAACTGGGTTTCTCCACAGACCCCATCACACTGTCTTGCTACAATGAGGGCATTGCATGGCTCAAACATAGGCCAATCCCAAGGCCCTTAGCAAGGCCAGGCTCTCCCCTGGTGGCCAGCTGCTCTCCCAAGACCACCAGGACACTCCGTCAGCCTGCCCTGGGGCAGGCACAGTAAGTTGGACTCTCCTACCTAGACTTGGGCCCGTTGGCATCCCTACTCCCACCCCAGCTTATTGTTCTGTCTGTTCTGGGAATAGCTATGGTTGGCTCAGAGACAGGCTGTTTGTCCACCTTTTAAAGGGAGCCTGCCTAGTTGCATCCGACATGAGCAGTAGGAGTAAAATGTATTGGAGCAGGCCTGCCAGGGTGGGTGGGCCCTCAGCCTGGGAGAGCTGGATGTGAGGGAGAGAAGGGAGGATCTGACCCCGTGACCAAGCCCGAGACCCGAGGTGAGACCAGAATCCTCCTCGTTCTCGTGGGTATGTATTCCTGCAGTGCTGCTCCAGGACACAGCAGCAGCCGCCGTGTGCCCCCAGAGCCACAGCTCTAGGCACCTTCCAGGATGGCAGAGGTAGGAAGCAGGGGCTGCCGACTGTGCTTTCCCCGAGGAGGCTGGATGGTGCCGCAGAATGAGACCACCTTGGAGGATGTGAAGGGGGTTGGGTGTCGAGGGCTAGAGGCACAGGAGGGCAGGCGGCAACAGATGCTTCTCTGAGGCCGCAGCCCTCCACTCTGGATCCTGATTCCCTGGGCCAGCTGTCTGCCTGCTCACTGGGGCTCGGCCTGGGCCTTGGGCAAAGAGAAGGGCATGCAGGGATGTCCAGGGGAGGAGCTCACCTGTAGCCAGGGGTCAGTCATGCTGTTGTGTGGTCTCTACCCATCAGGGGGGTCTGACAGAAGGCAGGTCCTCCAGCTTCTAGCCCAGACCCCCTTGCTCTGGTCCCTGAACTCCCCAGAGAGGAGACATGCCCACAGGCCAGGTGGCAGGCTCTACCTGTGCCACGTGCCGGCTGCAGTGGCACAGCCTTGAGCTTCCGTGCAGGGAAGCTGTGAGCAGCACCTGCGGAGGAGCAGCAGCATCCAGCCCTGTCTCAGTGAACCCAGGAGGCCCTGGGGGCAGCTCCCAAAGCCACTGTCTTCCCAGTACTTCAGGGTGTCTCCCTAGTCCCTGACAAGCCCTGAAAGGAACGATGGAGAGGCAGGAGATGCTGGGGAGCTCGTTCCCATCAAAGCCTCACCCTCTTTGGGAAGAAGCAGCTCCTGGCCTAGAAATGAGGCTCAGTTCCAGAAAGCTGCCCATGAGAGATGGGAGGCCCAAAGCTCACAGCACCCCCTCTGGTTCCCAGGCAGGTCGTCATCCAAGCACACCGGGAACAGCTGGATGAAATGGCTGAGCTGGGCTTCAAGGAGGAGACCCTGATGAGCCAGCTGGCTGCTACCGTAAGTGGTCTTGGCTGGACCCTCCAGGGCTGTTGGGACTTAGCCTGCAGCTAGTTTGACGTTGTTTAGTCACTAAGCTATGTCTGACTCTTCTGCAACCTATGGACTGTTGCCCACCAGGCTCCTCTGTCCATGGGATTCTCCAGTTAACAATACTTGAGTTGAGTTGCCATGTCCTTCTCCAGGGGATTGTCCCGACCCAGGGATTGAACCCACGTCTCCTGAATTGGCAGGCGTGTTCTTTACCACGGAGCCACCAGGGGAAGTCCAGCTAGTTTGACAGTCATCCCTGTTTCCTGCAGTGTGTGCAGAAAGGGTCTGCTGCCACACTGTAGCTTTGTCAAGGCTTTGGGCCTTCTCTTGCCACTCCTCTGAGCTGGCCTGAGGGGCACAAGGACAAGTGGGGGTGGCGTGACACTCCCCATTCCCAGGCCAGTGTTTCCAGCCTCTCTCCTTGCCGTTCTGCCTTCCTCGTGGCTCGTTGGAGGCCCCTCCCTGTGATGGCAACAGTGACTTGCCTTATGCAGACCAGAGGTACTTCTACAAAACCACCCTTTTGCCCTGCAAATACCTCTCTAGAGAAGTGGGCCCACCCTATGCCATGGTGACTATCCTGCAGGTTTTCCAACTGGAGGAAGGGCCCTGGGCTCTGAAATCCTCCTGCAAGAGAAGGGATTAGAAAAGCAGATATGACAGAGGGCCAGTAACAGCAAAAGCTCCGTTTGACCTTCGTTTCCTTTCTCAGGATTTTGAAGGTTTTGTGATCCAGCTAGATGAAATCATGGTTCTAAAGTCCAAGTGCATCCAGAGTCTGAGGAGCCAGCTACAGCTATACCTGGCCTGCCACAAGCCAGCTGCAGGCCCCGAGAGGACAGCGGTGTCTTAGAGTTGGTATGGGGTGGCTGGGCTCTCAAGAGCTGGAGGGGCCTCCACCAGGTGCCCCTGCAGATCTCAGCACCCGTCTTGTCCTGCCATGCTGTTCTCTCACCTCTCATGGCCTGGGCTGGGTCCCAGCTCCTCTCTGAGCCGAGCCTCTGTTCTTTCCAAGCACAGGGGCTTCTGCAAGGAAGGACCGATGAGCCTGAACAACTTCTAATGGGTCTCTCCCTTCTCTTTGGGGTTGAGGATGTGTGTTACTGACCCTTTGTGGAAACACAGTTGGGTCTAATAACCCTGTAGATGTTTCTGAATTGGGGGATCTGAGGATGGGGGGATGGTCAGCGGTAACCTACAGGTTGGAGGTCACAAGCTAGGGGAGATAACATGCTGAGCCTAGAGGTTTTATCCTCTGGATTCTGTGCCTTCCTCCAGGACTTGGTCAAAAACTAAAACGTGGGTGCTAGTGGGGTGGGGGCTGGGTGAGATCTGCCCCACCAGCCCTTGGGAGATTGATTTGGGGCTTTAGCTTTTGAAAATGTAAAATGAATAAACCTTAACTGGATGTCTTTAACAGGAGCAGATGTGGGACAGGTCTTACTTATGCTTCCAGTTCCCCTCCCTCCCTGCAACACAGTATTTAGACGGAAGAGGGCGCTCGCATCACTGCATTCTTTTCCAGTCTGCCTTTTGCTGAGACCATCTGCCTGCATCACATTCCTAAGTCCTGTCTGTGGGTCCTCACCCACTGTACTCCCTCACAGAACAGTTGAATGGCTGGAGTATCACAGGCAAGTCCATCTCCTAGCCTCACCTTCATCCAGGGTCGCCCTGGCCGTCTGCTCTCCCTTCCAGTGGCCTGTGTTCAGTACCTTGGCACTAAGTGCTCTGGCCAGTGAGACTCTAAAGCAGTTTTACACACATACATGCACCCCTTCATGTGAGTTGTTCACTGTATATCTTTTTAGCAGAAAGAAGCTTAAGATAAGAAATACCAGGTAGTTCATCACTTACCAAGGCCACCTTGGATCAAATTGAGATTCACATGTCAAAGCCTTGGCCCCAACACCCATTTTGATATGAAATTTTGTTCTCTTGTAGAAATTAAAGGATAACTTCTCCAAATTTTAAAAGAAGGGTTTAATTAATTTTAAAGGCCAGAAGAGGGACTAACTGGCTTTCTGAGACAATGGCCATGCCTCATCTGACCACCAGAGGGCGGCCTTTTTCCAGCTTGCTGCTTCCCAGCCTAAAGGTTCTGTATCCTCACATCATCACTACAAAAATTAGACCCGTCCAAGCCAAGAGCACAAGGACTGTGGGAGAGACAGTATTACAACTAAGGACAAGAAGCTAGGGATAAATCTAGTGCCATTGAATGCAACAGCCCCACTGAGAGCTAGTGAAGCAGTCAATCCCCGTCCCACCTGCGGAACACAGACACGCCTGATGCTGCTCACAGGACCAGGGACTCACTCCTCACCTCTGAGTGTGTCTCCCGAAGGCCCAGCCTGTCTCACCTCCACAGTCAGTCTTGCAGGAAGGCACATGTCTATGTCCTTAAGCCAGAGACCGAGCTAGGCCAGGTTTAAACAGACCTTTGTGTCTAGGCCTGCCTTTGCAAACCAAAAACCAGGGCAGACCGTAGGGCCAACTCGTGGGTTCCACAGGTCTAAGAGTTGGAAGAAAGCAGTGAAATGACAGAAAATGGTTAGCTTCTGTTCCATCCCCAGCAAATGTGCTTACCACTCACTAACCTCCACCCTGCAGTGAAACATTCCTTGGCAATACAGAAATCATCACAACAGGATATACCTTTTTAGATTTTTATTAGTAGTTCTCTCTGAAGAATCAAAATAGTTAGCAAATTACTTTAGATTCATCAAGACTGTATATCCTTTGTATTTAGATCTTTAATGATGTACAACATAATACAAAACAAACCAAAGAGACTGATTTCTATGACTAGGTGTTATTTGTTGTGTCGTCCTAGAGCAGGGGCTGGAGGGAGAGGCTGTTCTCCAGGGAGAACTGAGGTGGAGTTAGTGCTGGGGGACTAAATCACGGCCTGCTTTTTCCCCGCTTGATGTGCTGGGAAGGGACCAATGATTCCTTAAACTGACAACTGCTTCCTAGAGTAAGGGACTCTAAAATCCTGGGTAGCAGAAGATTGTAGTCCAAACCAGGCCGAAAGAAACAGGCTGGGGCAGGGAAGTATGGTAACTGCCTGGCAGAAAAGGCAAACTCAGGGCCCCAGGGGGTAAAGGGCATTCTCTGCACCTCAGAGACATTGCAGAACCAGTGTCGCAGTAAGTGACATTGTTAAAAAGGGAAGGAAACAAACCCTGGAAGAACCTTTCAATTGCACTCAACCTGGATTAGAGGTCAGCCCACTCTTGCGGACGAGGGAACATCTAGCCCCGAAGCAGCACTGAGTCTGGCCCCACCACCTCCTCCTCCCCAGCTCCTTTTGGCAGCTGGGCCAGGTTTCGGCTGAAGCCATACAGATCCCAAAAAGACCAGAGAAGTCAATCTGGAGGGCCAAGGCGGGAAGGACACTTCTCAGGATACAAATACTTTTAATATGGAAGGAGCCAAGACAGTTCTGGGGGCATGTGCACGCCCAAATCTTACCCAATCTCTCCCCAGCTCAGGACCTAAGCTTGTAGAGACTTGGCAAGCACAGTCTCCACACCTGACCTTCCACCCCCAAAAGGAAATCCGGAAGCGCGCCCCTTCCCCTTCCCCACGGGGGCTCCTCAGGGCCTCCTGCAGGGGTGGCTCTGGCAGGGCCGAGCAGGGCCTCGTCTCAGCTGGCTCCCGCCCGCGCCATGAGGTCTTCCAGAGCATTGTCCTGGTCGTTGTTATGTAATAGCAGAACTTCCTTAATATCTTTCAGTTCAAAGCCCATTTCCTTAAATTTGCTCATCAGCTGAAGAAACTCCATCATCTAAAGAGAAGAGAATACAGATTCAAGAAAGGGTTCTGGCCACACAGCACAGCCGAGTGGTGAAATACACGCATAAGGGGCTGCTTGGGAAGGCATCCTTGCCGGAGCCCCTCGGGTCCCCGAGCAAGCAGAGGAGGGCTGTGGAGGAAGACAGGCTGATGCCCAGGCCCCAGAGCTTACTGCCCTTCCTGCAGGTCCCCCCATCCACATCCACGCTCCCATCCAGCCAAGGTAAAATGACTAGCCATCTCCCCCATCATCCAAAAGTACAGCTTTTGCCCAGGTTGTTTTTTTCCATCCCTTCCCTGGGATCTTAGACGGTCTTCAACTTGATACTTCATCTAAGCCAAACATCCACATGCCTGTCTGGACACGGGAGATTCTTGCTCCAACGAGTTCAGCCTACAGCCACTGGGAGGGATGAAGGTGTGGAACAGGAGTGCCCCCAGGACATACTGCTCTGTCCCTTCTTTCCAGAGGGTTCCCTGGAGCCTACCTTTTCCTCTGAACACTGCTGCATTTCCAGAGCCTCTTCCACCAAAAGAGGGTCGAAGCCCTTCTCACAGAGCTGTCCATGTGCAAAGAGATAGTCGAGAATCTAAGAAAACAGAAAGGGTTAAGCACGGACTGCCACTGTTTCTGTGCTTCCCAAAAGTCACACCAATCAACACATCTGCTCCCCGCCTTGACTGTTACATCCTGGAGAGGACTTGACGTTTTACCTTGAATTGTGTCCAACAGAGCGGGACCTCAGTGACTATTTGCTGATAGACACACCCTTCTAAATATGCACTGACAGTCTTCAGAGGAGTTCCTGTCAGCTGACTCATCTCCCAAATGACGTCAGCTCCATAGCCTGGGCAGGGTACTCTCCTAAGAAACCACCCGAGTCAGAAAGGGCCCCCAAGGCTTGGGGCTCCAGTACCCTGGATCAGAACTGCCTGGGTGCTTCTGACGGGACGGACATTTATGGAAGAAGACGTCTGACCATACCGCAAGCCTATTCTTCCACTGTCTCAGGAGAAGCAGAGAAGGGGGGTAAGTGGGTAGTCCTTAACTCCAGTACGCCCAAGTCTGTCCCTCAGCCTAGGTCCCAGAGCAGAAGCACTGCTGGAAACCCCCAACGAAGCCCCCGAGTCCTGCCGCCTTCCCTCATCTCAGGAAAAGAATGGCGCTGAGAGTCTGCTCGACTCTAGGACAGATGGAGGGCGCTTCCAGCTCCGAGATCTGGGACCCCTCTCCTACCCTGGCCCTGTGGCTGACTAACCGCTCACCTGCTCAATATTCTCTCCTTTCTTCTTCATGGCTCTCAAGACACACTCATATGAGTAGCCCATGTTGACCACTGTCTCCACACAGTGCCGCTCACTGGGGGACAGCGCCTGCAGTTCAGAGTAAGCCTGGGGACAGCTGGGAGTGTTGGGCACTTGTGACACTGAGAAATTAGGAGGTGTGACCTGGTGGCAGAGAAACAAAGGATTAAGGCAAGAAGACAGACCCAGGCCCCAGAAGACAAGTCACTGAGGTGGCCCAATCCAGGGGTTTATCAATCCTGACCAAATCAAACCTCCAGTCAAGTAACCTGCCTGCAAGAAAGGGCCAGATCTCTGGCCAGACATCCTAAGGAAGAACTCTGTTCTTCCCCTCTTTGGGGTATGGGAGCTCCAGCTGAGGGACAAGTTGGGAAGACACCTGCAAGTGTGGCTGTCCTCTGACCTCATCCCACCTTGCAGAGTGAGGAAGCACCATGGAAACACATGCGCTTTCCTGCCCAAAACCCCTGGGTTTGTAGTGGAGGAAGAAGTTCTGAAAGCCGCCTTTGGGCAGCACCTTGCTGGCTGCTAAGACCTCTCTCCAGGGCTCCACGATCCCTTTCCTAAACTGCCGTATCTGAGTACTAGAGGGATCATTCATCTCAAACCCCCTCAGTCCAGAACTGACTGTCCCAGTAACCATGTCCATCACGTCCCAGTGTCCGTCGTCACATCTGTCACTGGGCTGGGCAGATGGCCAGCTCAGGGCTCCCGTGCTCAGGGCACTGCCCTTCTGCCCCACACCACGTACTGTGCTTTGATTACCTGCAACAGCTACTGTCCTACAGAGGCAAGGCTGAAGATGACCACCCCTCCAGGCGGTACCCTCGAGGACTGGAACATGGTCCCTAGGGCCCAGCGTCTACTGCACTGGCCTCAGGCAGCCTACTCCTACCACCGGCCCCCAGCCTGACTGGACAGATTCCCAGACTTAAACACCACCACCACTGCTGATAATAATCAGCCCCAAGGCAAAAAGGCAGCTCACTCCCAGGCTGAAGGACAGAATCACCATGGGAAAAGCTCTCTGACAACTTGGCTCATCTCCCGAGAACCAGGAAAAATCATCCAAGAAAATTTTATTTAACCCTCTCCCTTTTTGGGGGGGTGGGGGAGAGGAAGGGAGGAGGAAAGGAGCCTGCTTATCCTAGAAGCATGTTCAAAATTCTATAGCTATAACCAGATGCTCTCCTCCAAGTCAGCTGGGGGAAGCCAAGAAGATTCCACAGGCCTCAACGCCCACAGTGTCTGCTGAACCCTCTCACCAGAGCACACTCCAGGGAGTGCAGTCCTGGGGCTCAGCCATCAGGTGACAA